TAGAATCCAGATCCCTCTGGTTTCTATTTCAAACTCCTCCAGCAGGGTACCTCAGATGACCTCACTTCTCAGGCCTCTCCCTCCGGAGGCCCCTCCCAGAGTTGGGGCTCTGTCCTGCTGGCTCATCCCACTGCCCCTCCCAGCTTCCCCGGGGCGCCCCCAGGGCTTGGGACATGTTCCCCTCCAGCAAGGTCACGATGCGCACGGCTAAGGGCATGGCCTCTGAAGTCCGGCTGCCTGGGATCCAGGCCCGGCCGGACCCCTGCGGCACGTCGCAGCCTTTGGGCATCTGTAAAGTGGGCACACTGGCACAGCGCCCCCTCCGAAGGAAACAGTGACAATACGGAGCAGCTGCTATGGATCAGTGCTCCCCGGAGCCCTCTAGCTCCGTTGGTGTCCTGGGTCCTCGGGCAGCCCTAGGAAGGAGGCACCGTCATCGTGGAGGCACAGAGACATCGAGTGACACACCCAAGGCTGCACAGCTTGCGAGTGGCCATGGGTCGAAGCAGGGGGTCATGCGACCCTCACACGGTTGTTAGAGGGGCTGCAGGCCCGCATCCGAGGAAGCCACGGCAGGTGTCCGCTGTGGCCGCGCAGGATTATTACCTCCCGTCCCAGCTGCTGGAAGGCTCCGCGGTCCCAGACGGCTACCTGCTTTATCCAAACGGGGCCTCCAGGGACCCCCGACCTCCAGGGCCTCCCCTGGCCCGGAGTGCACGGAGCCGCCTGCGCGCTGATGCCACAGCTAACGCCACCTGCCCCTGAACTTGGGCTGTGTTTTCTAGTCAATTGTCTGCACGTCCTCTCTCCACGGATGGCTGGGACATCAGGCTTCGCTCAGCTTCAAAGTCCCCAGAGGGCAGGGAACACGGCAGTGTGAACTCAGCGTGAAATGACACGGGCCTGGGATGACAGACGAGCCGGGGACATCCCGGGGCTTGCTCCCGTGGACGGAGATGTCAGCAGGACTGTGGCTCATGACCCTGTTTCCTTCCCCACCGGTTTTGGAGGTTAAGGGAGGCAGGGGGCAGATGACCCCACAAGGGGCAGCAACGGGAAGGCGGGCGAGTGAGGCTGGAAGGCGTGGCTTTCTGACAAGCCTGGGTTCAAATCCTGGCACAGCCCCGTCGCCGTGTGTCCCCAGACCAGCTATTTAGTGGAACTTCCCTGGGAGTAACAGCACCGCCTGCAAAGGGTGGCATGAGGTGCTCATGAAGGACTCCCTCCGAAGCATCCAGCCCCGTGCCCCGCACGTAGCAGGTGCTCAAGAAGTGGCAGTCGTTGTCACCTTTGGGTCATTTCAGTGTTTGGGGCATCAGAAGGCGGGGGGCCTGGCGTCAGCTCTCCCCACGGAGAATGAGGCCATCACTGGGTGAGAGGTAAAGTTCATTAGAGCTTTGGCTTCCCGTGGTCTTTGACTTTTCGAGTCACTTGTAGCCCTGGGATCCTTGGATCTGGCCCGAAGCTGCCAGAAGAGCACGTGGGGCTCGTACCACTACGCTGGCGCCACCCGAACACCCAGAGCAAATTCCTCTCCCAGAGAGTAGCGGCCAGACCTCTCTCCTGCCCCAGCGGAGGGCTCGCCAGGTTTGCAGGTTCTCTCCAAAGGGCGACTCACTCCATCCCCTGTCCCAGATCCACAAAACGTGAAAAACGTAATTATGGCTTAAAGGTGGAGTCAGCTGAACATGGAAGAGGGAAGGAGAAAAACAAAACTCCAGCACGAGGCCAAAGTCTACACCGCCCCTCCTATTCTATATATACCAACCCTTGTGTGAGAAGCAAGGCGGGGAGGAGGCTCCGGCTTGTTCCCCAGCGACACAGGCTGTGATGAGACAAGATCCCTTCATTATGTGTCCACTTAGCGCTCATTCAAACACGCCACAAAGTGGAAGTAATTAAGGAAAGTGTCAACCTTGGGGCGACCTTTCCCAGTCGTCCTGCACTCGGCCTCGCACACGTGGGCCCGGAGCAATGTCAGCACTGGCTTCCCTGGGCCTTCCAGATTAAGGCCCGATGGGGGCCCGTGCGCCGCTTTTGCGCTGATGGCAGCCAAGGGGACGCGGCGGCCGGGAGCAGCACGGGGGCCTCCGCAGCACAGCCGGCGAGCTGGGAGTGGGTCCCGACACACGCGAACGCCCCCGGGCCAGGGGCAGAAGCCCTGGGACCTACGACGGCCAAATCCCAGCACTGCCGCGTGCGGGCAAGTCATGCTCGTGAGGAATCCCCGTCCTGCTCGACAGGTTATCCCAGCTCGCGTGGACTCCACGCTCCAGGCAGAGTAAGTAAGAAAGCAGCACAAGGTGGAGGAGAGTCTTGGTCCTCCCCCGCTCCTCTCAGGACCTCTGTCCTCCCCTGCGAGCCCGGATGCCGGAGAGGAGCATGTTGGGAGGAGAACAGAGGAAAGGCTTGTTGCCCCTCGTCAGGCGGCAAGAAACAGGCCCACGGAGCATCAACGACCCCACGAGCACGGACTTCGGATTCCTTATTCACTCGCTCAGTTTACCATTCCGCCCAACACGGATCAGCGGGCACCGTGCTAGGTCAGGGGGAGCGAGATGGGCACACAACCCAGCAGGAAGGATGTCTGAGCCACAGAAGAAAGCAGACCCGCCCCCTTGTCGTCCACAGACTGATATGGGAATCGCATGCTCAGGACCGTGTGGCTTCTGTAAATGACGCCGATGTAGGATGTGGCATTCCCTTCTTCCAGGCACCAAAATCTCCTCCCCCAGATCAGGGAGGGGGGCATAAGGCAAGCATCCTCCTCGTGCTGCAAGGCCTCGCGGGTGCAGGACCCACTAGGCTGCCCTATGAGCTCCCGCGAGGGCAGGTTGCATGGCTCCAGCGCATGCTCTGGGCCGGGCTCATCTCTAGACCATCAGCTCCTTGGAAACAGGTCACAGTCTTATTCATCTCTTTGGTTTTTTAAAAAAAAAAAAAAAATATATATATATATATATATATATATATATATATATATGTCGTTTTCAATTATTTATATTTTTAAAAGTAGGCTTCGTGCTCAATGTGTGCCCCTTAGCGTTGAGCACGGGGTTGGGCACGAGGCAAACACTCACTGATGGTCTGTCGAGTGAATGAAAGCTGAATGAATGAGCCACGTCGTGCTCAGAGGCAGGGAGCAGGGCGCACAATGGAAGCCTTCCGTTGTCTCTTTGCTCGTCCCTGTTCTCTTCAGGCTCAGAGTGCGGGCTCCCCTACAAAGCACATCTCCCCCTGCACCCAACGCATCAATACGTCCAGTGTGTCCTTGGCCGACATGGATGGCCACGACGACAGGCAGTCCCAGAGCAGAGGCAGGGCAGAGAACCTTGTTCCTCTTCCCCGGGAGCCCCGGAGGAAGCAAGGGCTGCTCCCTTTTCCCACCTCCGCAGGTCCCCTGGCACTCCACCCACGGAGGAACCCAACGTGGGATCTACTAGCCGCGTTCATCCTTCCGGCGGGGAAGGATGGGCTCCAGCCGACGAGCCCGGGGGACCCCTAAAGCCAGTCAGCAGCAGACACTAATGGTAAAAGTCCTCTCACCAGCTCATCGGATAATGGTTATGAACGGGCCTGGTTAGGTGGAGCTCATTAGCCCCCAACAGTGTGGCATACACATAAGGAAGCCATTACGCTAGCAAAACTGCAAATGTAAAAATAGAGCCCCACATAGTTTCCTGGTTACCACATTCTAATTCTGATGGTTTTTCAGTGCCAGCGAAATTTGGTTTCCTTTGTCCCCTGCCATGCCCTGGTTGCTCTGCGTGTGTACTCATTGTGGGAGGCAACGGTTTATTTCTAGATGCCCAGTCCCTACCCCATAAACCTCCTCTACGAGGCTTGCCATGGAGTGAGTGTTGCTGCTCTGTCTTCAGGGTCACGACGGCCCCAAGACCACGGCTGGGGCCCAGGGCGGCAGAAAGCCCGGAAGGGCCTGGCCCCGCAGCCTAGGGGAACCCCCAACCACCTGCATAGAGGGGATAAGAGGACAGGAACGGCACGCTGCCGATGTCCAGCGGCACCAGGTCAGGCTGTGCTCTGTGCCCCAGCTTTGCCCACGGGAGCAAAGCACCGAAATGAAGCTAAGACGAAACCTCTAGACAATCTCAGCTTTGCCAAAAGCAAGCTCGTCCTTTCCCTGGGGCAAAGACCCCTTTGGAAACTAAAGGATAGACAGCTGGAGCCCTGCAGTGTGCAGTCTCGGGTACCTCTCATGTGTACCACAGTCATCCTCTAGGTATTTTTTTTTTAATGTTGCAAGAAAACCAACACACACACACACACACACACCTAAACCCTGCTAAGAGTTTAGAATCTGACCAGTCTAGGACCTGACCCGTGGCACACAAGCTTTCACCTATCCGCTCACCAGTCATTCATTCAGAGCCACCTGCAGAGCACCTGCCGTGGGCTGGGCACGGGTGAGGATGTACCTGGGGACAAGCAGTGTCCCTGCCCTTACAGAGTATCACTGTGTCCCAGTTTCAGAGCTCCTCTTGGTGTAAATCTCACATTCTGGCTCCTGAGGCTCGGTTACCGGTAGGACATGCATCAGGTGGTGTGTTGTGACTACGGGGTGCCCCAGGGAAGGTGACAGGTGGGAAAGGAAGCAGGTGTCAGGCAGTCAGCCAAGTGGCTCTGCCTCGCTGGTTCCCAGCACCCCCACCGTTCATCTGGGCTTTGCATGGAACCTGGCTCTCGATCTCTCGGCTCATTACTTTTTTGTCATGGCCTCGGTGACTCGGTGACTCCCGGCCCTGAGCGCTGGATAAACAGGGCACCCACTGGCCACTTTCCTCCCCTGACCTCGAAGCGCTCCTGGATTGGACGGACCAACTCTGGGTTGAGCCGAGCAGGGCAAAAGCTCAAAGTGAAGTTCGCAGGCTGATGTCTCATTGTTAAGAGAAGGACCTGTGTAGGCAGGTCACTTCTTCCAGTGAGGACAGTCTGGTGGCCTCCCCACCCCAGGAGGAAGTCCTTCCCTCCAGGACACGTACCTGTACAGGAGAAGCTGTCCTCGGTCTCCGCAGGGCAGCCAGAGTAGTCATCAAGGACCCAGCCAGCCTGAGGGAGGGGGCCGGGTTCCTGGTCTGTCTGCAGCCTGTGGACAGAGAAGGGGTGGTCACTCACAGCAGCGGTGGTCCTGGCCCCGAAACTTCTCCGAGGGACTAAGGAAATCTCCCTGGAGCTCGGTTCTTCCCCGCTGCTGGTGCTCTGCACCCCGCCGGGCTGGGCCTTCCCTGGCAAGCATACGTCCAGGTGTGCACTCGCGTGTGCAGCAGGACCTGGGCCAGGTTAGGCCCGTGGGAGGGGCCCTGGGGGAACTCCTGAGGGCACTGGGATGCCTGGTGCCAGTCCCTCTTTGGTGTCCCGCCCGTTCCCCAGAACACCAATGGCCCACAGGACAGCGGGAACCCACAGTATCGCCAGGCCTTGGGTCCTTCGTCCTGCCAGGGTCCCTGCCCTCAGACTGTGCCTGTATTTTTTTTTTTTTAAGATTTTACTTATTTATTCCTGAGAGACACACAGAGAGGCAGAGACACAGCAGAGGGAGATGCAGGCTCCCTGCGGGGAGCCGATGCGGGGCTCCATGCTGGGGCCCCGGGGTCACAGCCTGGGCCCAAGGCACCCGCTCCACCGCCGAGCCCCCGCGTGCCAGGCTGTGCCTGCGTTGCAGCCACGTCCGTGCCCAGAGGGCAGGGCTCCGTCTGAAGGTGAGGTCACGGGCTCCTCGTGGGGGCTGCGGGCCACCCAGGCCTCCTCGGGCTTGGCCACGGTGCGGGCGGCCAGGACGTCCGAGAAGGGGGCTCGGCGGAGGTCGCGGCGACTCCCGGGGGGCTGGGTCCACGCTGGGCCGGTGCGGCAGCAGGAAGGAAGGGTGAGGTCTCCGGGCACCGGCTCCCGCGCGGGCTCCAGCACAGCCCCAGCCCACAGGCCGGGAACAAAGGCCGCGGCCGTTATTACAGGCAATTACCCGGCTCCGAGCCGCCGCCCACGCCCGCTGTCGCCAGCTAAGTGGGCCCTCTGGCAGCCTGGCGGCGGGGGCGGGGAGGCTGCGACGTAAGTCCTGGGGCCGGGGCTGGGCCGGGGACCCTGAGTCTCCCAGTGCTACGGGATGTCTCTTCCTCGCCCCGGTTTTTCCCCTTTCTCCAACCAAGATGACTGGGAACTCTACGTCACGCGCACGTTGCGGTGAACAGCATCGTACACGTGGAGCTAGGGGCAGGCAGGCCCAGCGCTAGAAACGCAGGGCGCCGTCACCCCGCTCGGGCCATCGTGAGTGAGCGGCACTGGCCCGGGAGCCCGGAGAAGGCTTCCACGCTCTCATCCCGGCCTGCCTCCACCTCCCCAGACTCGGCCAGGGGCCCAGGCCTCTCCTCACTCTCCAGCCTGAATGGAAGCTCCGTCTACGCTGGAAGTCGCCGGGGGCTTGAGCCTCACAGAAGAAAACCAATAACGGGGCGCCTCGGCGGCTCAGTCAGTAAGCATCTGCCTTGGGCTCAGGTCATGATCTTGGGGTCCTGGGATGGAGCCCCACATCGGGCTCCCTGTTCAGTGGGGAGTCCGCTTCTCCCTCTGCCTACCACTCCCTCTGCATGTGTGCGCTGTCTCTGATAGATGATAGACAATAGATACAGACAGTGATAGATGATAGATTGACAAATAGACGGTAGATGATAGATGGGTGATAGATGATACATAGATGATAGGTAGATGACAGGTAGACAGGTGACAGGTAGATAGATAAAAGAAGACCAGTAACCCTCCCCTCCTGCCACCATTGACTGCACCCTCCTCCCTGAAGTCTGACCAAAGGCCAGCCTGACGGGGGACGGAGAGAACTGCTGGAAAGAGAGCGCTTGGCAGGTGGTCAAAAGCAGCCACAAGGTGGTGAAGCTGTGGGAGGCTCTTCCCCGGGAGAGCAGAGGAGCCGGAGTTGGAGGATCTGAGGGAACCAGCTAGAGGCAGTAGAGGCGGGAGACCCCAGGACCTGGACAGCCGCCCGAGAGGCATTGGTCTTCTGTGGGTCCAGCCAGCAGGGGTGACCAGAGGGAGGCGGTGGCGGGTCAGAGATGAGGCAGGAGAGCCGCTGCCTTGGGAAGGACCGAGCCTGGAAGGAGATGGCTGGGGCGGACCTGCCCCCTGGAGAAGCAGGAGACGGAGGCGGGCGGGCAGCTCGATGACCTCTGCCGCTGCGAGCAGCTGGAGCTTTGCAGAAAGGCCAAGGGGCCGGGGGCGGGGGCAGATGTCCGGGAGAAGAGGACGTCCCGTGAGTCCTAGGGAGCAGATGGCAGCGCCCCGGCTACGAAGCTTGCAAGGCAGCCAGCCGGGCCCTCGGCAGAGTGACCCCTGACAGCGGCTCCGGGCCCCACCCACCGGCCTGCGGCACCTCGAGTGCCCTCCGTCCTCCTCCGCCCTTGCCAGAGCCACGACCCTCCCTGCCACCGTACGCCGGGGCCCGAGACACCGGGTCTAGGAGGTGGACGGTGAAGAAAACCGCCCGCGCCGAGGTCGGTACGACCCGTTTCCAGGTCTGTGTACAGTGAACGTTTGCGGAGCGAAGGAAACACGGTTCTGTTCAGGTTGCCCCGAAATGTCCGAAAAGGGAGAAGTTCTGACCCCTCTGGAAAATGTCAGGCTCTAAATCCGCCAGGGGGCCTGTAGGGCAGATGATGTAGAATCTCAAGCAATTTAACGCCCAGACGCCCTTCCCGGAGCGGGATCCAGAAGGAAGGCGGGCGGGGGGCCGGGGCCTGTCCCCCTGGGAGGCCCCGGGGGGGGGGCTGTGCCGCGCTGGCTCCGAGCTCTCCTGGCTGCAAGGCCGGGCGCAGCTCCCGAGGGCCCGCAGGAGGAATCGGGCGGTACTGGGCCGTACTGGGCGGCACTGGGCCGTACTGGGCAGGCCCGCACCCCGGAGTGAGCCCTTCCCTTGATCCTTGCTTCGGCTCGGATCCCTGCCGTGACGGGGAACTCACCGCCTTTCGGTAATTCGTAAGCCTCTCCCGTTGCTAGAAAGTTCTCCCTGCCGAGCCCCCAGTCTGTCTCCAACGGGCTTCTAACCACCTTGACGCCGACTCAGTGCTCTGGAGCCGCACCAAGTAAATCCGGTTCATCTTACGGCACGACGGCTCTTCAAATATTTGAGAACAGCTCTCAGACCCTCGCTAAGCCTCCTTTTTCCAAAGTAAACCGCCTCGGCGGCCTTAATCATTTCTCCGACGCTGTTTTTGGATCCCTCACCAACCTGTTTGTCTTCCTTGAAATGTGGTTTTGGGCTTCGGTGCCCCTTTTAAAATATGGTGTTCCGGGGAATGTGATCCTCGAAAAGAGGCCCGAGCCCGTGGCGGAGGGCCTGGGCCTGCTGGCTCCCTCGCCCCGGGCCCTGCGCGTCTGTTCCCCGGTGTGAGGGCGCCTGGAACCTTCCGGAGACCGAGGCGACTGCTGGCTTCCGTCTGGTAGGAGAGCAAGGTCCTAGCAGTTCCCGCTCCCGCCCTCCAGAAGCTCTGGGGCCACAGACACCCCCACCCGCCCTGGGGATGGTGCCCGAGCTTCTCTAAAGCCCGGAGGTGGAAATGCATCTCTCCTCACTGGAGCGCAGAGACAAAGCCCGGGAAGTCAGGCTAGCCAGGGAGGAACTTCATTCGAGCATCTCTAAACCGTGTGACCCTTGGTAATTAAAACCTGGTTTACCTCTATCATGACCATTTTATCAAAATTAGGTTTTTATTTAAAAAAAGCATATGTACTTGACGGACACGTTTTTCCAGGCGCTCAACGTGCCCCGTGCGGAGAAAACTAGAGACGCATTTGTTGATCGTGTTGTTAGGAAGGTGAAACCCCTGTCGGGCCGTTTAGGAAGCAATCCTGGCTGCGCCTGGGGTGCCAGGCACGAGGGAAACGCCGTGCAGAAGGAGACAGGGTACGTGGAGAGAGACACACAGAAGATTCTGGGGGCGCCAAGGAGAGGCTAAGACTTCACTCGCCACGGCGGGAGGGACCATGCCCACGATGCTGCACCTCGCCCCACAGCCAGTGGTGGCCAGTGTCCCAGACGAGCTGGCTGGGACGGACCTACCTGCCTGCACCTGTGGCTGCTCAAGCATCCACGCTACCCTAACACACTCCTGTCTCCGGGACCAAGGGAAATGGACGTTCCAGGGCGACTCCCCTTATCAGGCCGCCTGTCATGGAGTCCCCAGGGTGAGTCCTCTGAGAAGTACCAGAGCTTGGATCCTGGGCCCCCTTGGATGTCCCCAGTCCTACGTCAGCGTCAGCGATCCCAACCCCCTGCCTCCCGCCTATACTCAGGCCCCTCCATTGGTGGGTCGGTCACCTGTCACCGCTCCTCAGCACAGAGGCCCCCTCCTCTCCAGGCTTCCTGCTGTGTCCCCGCTCCCTGCCTCCCTCCCCACCTGCTCCCCCCGCTCACCTGTACTGGAAGGGGGCCACTGTGGCTGTGACCGGCTGACTCTGCTGATGGCCCGAGGCGAAGCTGATGGGCCCTGGGGTGGGCGAGGGGCGTTTGCTCTGCACGGGGCTGCACCCCGGGGAGGAAGCCCCTGACGCTGCCCCGGCATCAGGCTCCAAAGACCTCAGGACCCCCGAACCTTTGTAGTTTGTATCCCTTTGATCCTTTCCTGGGTAGCCAGGAGGTTTTCGACCTTCAGGAGCCCCCGGTATTTGAGTTTCTCCACGAGAGCTCATTCGGGATGGGCTCCTGCCCCGGGTCTGGCGGACTGGGATCCCTTCTGGAGCCACCTTCTTCTTTCCCTGGGTGCCTTGTGTCTCCCCAGCTCTTCTGGGCCCAGCCCAGCTGGAGAGGGCTGCTTTTGGGGTTGCCCTGGGACTGCTCCATGGGGAGCTGGAAAGGCCTTCACCACCCTCCGCTGACTCCCTCGCCGCCCCAGGAGGCTTGGGGGAGCCTCTCCCCCGGGAGGCCTTAGGAGAGGAGTTTCTGGAAGGGCCTCCTGCCTTGCCCAGTCTTGGGGAGGCCGCACGCTGGGGGCTCAGGGCCAGGCCAGCCTGGCGTGTCCGCAGCTGGGGAGAGGCGCCTGGCGTGTGGATCCTGGTCTGGGAAGCAGCTCGAGGCACAGGGATGGAGGAGGCATAGTGGGGGCGGCTGGCAGAGTTCACGTTGGCCATCCCATTCATGGTTAGCGCAGCAGCAATGAGGTCTACTGTCCTGCAGGGAGAGGAGAGGAGAGAGCATCAGGCACCATCCCAAGCTCCTGCCCCTGAGCCGGTAAGGAGGAGGCTGGGGTCGGCCGAGGAGGCCCGGGGCTCCAGGCCGGGCATCAGGACTCGGGGCTGCGCGTCCTGACTCCACCGGTGCTCACAAGCCGTGCCCTCTCTGCTCTGAAACGCCGCCGTGAGGCTCGTAAGCAGACACACACGCGAGGGTGCTTTGTGAACCACGGTGCTCTGTGCAATGGAGTTGAGTTAACGTCCCTGGCCTCTGCTGCCCTGCACCGATCAGGGATAGACTCTCCTCCTCGGATCCTTCCTTGTGGCCTGAGTCTAGAATCCCCTGCCCAACCCCCTTGTGCCCTCAGCCGTTTCTCTGCATGTTCCTCCCACCTGCCACCTCATCTGATAAAAGCGCCCAGGATACCTGTCCGGTGGAGCGTAATCATCCAGGTCCCGCTGGGTCCAGAGATGGGGCGGCCGATCCCAGTCCCCACAAACCACAAACTTGTAAACCTGCCCCCACCCTCAGCTCGGGCCACCTGGCTCGTATCATTCACTGGTCCTCATTGATGCCATCTCTCCTCCCTCCCCCTGTCCCCACCCTCTCGGTCACTGGAGATTTGGGCACTGGGCTCACAGTCCTCCTGATAGCCCTTCCCTGTGCATCCTCGAGCCCTCTCTCAGCCCTCGATCCATTAATTATCCCATCCCTCTCCCATATCCTCAACCTCTCCTCCTCTACCAGCTTCTCTTCCTTGCCATGTTAATTAATGAATTAATTGCTCCATTAATCACTTTCATTTCCCAGGGAATTTGAAGCCATTTACAAAGACACAATCAATCCCAGATGGACAAAAGAGTTAAATGTAGGAAATGCAGAAAATGAAACCATATTTGCAGGACACACGCACAAATGTTTCCATAATTTCGTTGTGGGAAAGGCCTTTAAAAGTCCCATGTCTGGGGATCCCTGGGTGGCTCAGCGGTTTAGCACCTGCCTTAGGCCCAGGGTGTGATCCTAGAGACCTGGATCGAGTCCCACATCGGGCTCCCTGCATGGAGCCTGCTTCTCCCTCTGCCTGTGTCTCTGCCCCTCTCTCTCTCTCGGTCTCTATGAATAAATAAAATCTTAAAAAAAAAATCATAGAGATGCAGATTAAATGTCAGCATTTTTTGCTATCAAATTTAGTGCCTTTTAGAGAATGTATAATATCGAGCTTCGGTTCAGGGCCGCAGGGCGCTCTGGCACTGCTCTGGGAACAATGCCCGGCCTAGGAATGTATCCTATAGGGGAAGGAGGAAAAATGTAGGCAAATGATCACATGTGAGGAAAATGCCCAGGTTGACTGCCACCGGGTGAAGATGGAGACAAAGGGCATGTGAGCAGAGAAAAGACCACCACGGTGTGGCTGGTCCACCTGAGGCCACCGGGCTGTCCCCCTTATATGGCAGAGGGGCCATCGGCAACCGTGCAGGTTGTTATGGCTGTTGTCAACCTATGGCTGTTGTCAACCTTTCTCTGACCTTTGACTCCGTGGCCGAGGACCACTTACAGGCTGCACTGTGAGAAGTCAACGTGGACCCTAAACCTTGATGGATTTACAGAACCACAGTGTGGAATGGCGGAGTCGGGGCTTGCAGGACTGCTCCACTAACGGACGAAATAATTTCCGCTAGGAAGCAAAATGCTATGATCCCCTCCCCGTTTCCTCTGATGTGGACTTTAATGATTTGACGCCACTATTGATGGGCCACAGGAGCCCCCAGCTCCTCCAGCAGAGAAGGCAAAGCCGCGTGTGTCTGGATGCCCACAGCCAGCTTGCCCCCACTCCTCCGGTGGCGGCCTAGGCCCACCGGACCGCGTTCAAGGCTTGCCTGACTCCTGCGTCCTTCCCGTCAACCTTACACCCCCCCACTAGGCCATAGACTGAAAGGATACTCTGAGTCCCCCTCCGCCTGCCCCCGTCTCGTTTCCCGTGCAGGGCACCCTGCCCGTCCCCAGCCCCAGCCCCGCAGGAGGGTCTGAGAAGGACTTTCACAAAGAAATCTCAGAGGGTGTCAAGCGGGTGCTAAGGGCAGCTGGGAGACTCTCCACGCCCAGCCTGCACAATAAGAACCGGATAAAATCCAGCCGCTGCAGTCAGGCGGAGCGACAGGCGGTCTTTACGATTCAGAAGGAACATCATGCTTTAGCCTGGCCTCAAGACGTTGTGAGAATTCTCCCCCAGGAAAGGGGAGAGCAACGGACGGTGTCCCCCTTCTTCTCCCCAGCCACTCCACTGGTTGTCAGCTACGTGCACCGGTGACAATGCCAGGCTGGGCCAGAGGGATAAGAACGGGCCTGGTGGAAGGCGTGTGTGGCCCTGAGCTGCTGACCTTGGCGTCCAGCACAGAGCTGAGCCGTGCCCAGCCGGCTGAACTCATCGGCTGACCCCCCATGAGAAGGACCCGAGGCCACGGAGCCACCGCGGCCCGTGCCCCGGAGACCGCAGCACTCCCACGTTCAATCCCTCCACTGGCACAGGACCGCACGGGCCACCTGTGCCTCTCCCCGTAGGCCCAGCCCCCATCAGATCCCAGTGTGGGGGCCTCGGCCATGCAGGCACCCCCTCTGGGAGCTACCTCTGTGACAGAACCCGGAACAGCATCTGGGCGCGCCTGCACCTCTCCCGTGAACTGCTCTTCCCCCCACGTTGTCGTGTCCAGGGATCTCCCAAGAGCCCAGCTCACCTACGCTGTCCCCGAGGCATCCCCAGCTCCCCTTGGCCCAGACTCCCCCAGGCCCTACATCTAGGACTGGCCAGACTTCTGGCCAAGGGAGCCTTAAGGCCCAGAAGCTGCTTCTACTTCACTTGCTAATGGAGCAGATGCAGTGGCTGCTTTCACTGGATCATCATTTTTTCAAAAGCTTGATGGGAAGAGGATGTAAAAACATTCCTGCGGTAGGTCACAGGAGCCTCACCCCTCCCTCTCCCCTGCAGCTGGGGCCCGGCCCTCGCCTCTGGCCCAGAGGCCGGCCCCACCTAGACCAGGAGCAGCATGTGCACAGGAGGGGCGGCCACCATCCCAGGTGCCAGTCTGGGAGCATCAGACCGCTTTTGGGGTGGTGGACGAGGGATCCCCAAACACACTGGGTTCTTTGAGCCTGGTGGGAAAGGGGCCACACAAGGAGCCTTCCTGGTTTGCCTTCCGAGTGGGAGCTCACGGGTGCTCAGTAGCTCTACAGAGATCTCAAGAGGACACCAGCGTATCTTCCCCAGACGTCATCAGTGTCTCTCTCACTGAGACATGCTTTCTAATCTGTACAACAACCTTCCGGAAGTGGCTTCTATTATCCCTATCCGCCAGGTCAGGAAAACAAGGCTGAGAGGGTTAAGCAAGCTCCCCGAGAACATACACAGCTAGAAAGCAGGAAGGCTGCGCGTCAAGAGCAGATGAGCAGGACCCTGGGGCCCAAGGACGGATCCCCTAGTCCATGGCCATCGAATGCACGTCCAGCCTCAGGATGCACTCCTCGGCCTCCCTATCAACACTGTCCTTGCCATGATTGACAGCTCGGGCCTCCCAGAGATTGTGGGAAACAGAGGATGGGGGCATAAACCTGGTTCACAGGGTGAAAATTGGAAAAGAACATCAGTCATGGGCAGCTCTGGAGGAGGCCTCCTCCTCCTCCTTCCTTTTTTCTCCAGCATTCCTCAGATCTGGCCAGCTTTCCCTGTACCCTCCATATGCTGTTTGACTTTGGTTGGTCCTGGAGGCCAAGATGGTCCTAGGGCATCGCCCCATCAGAGGCTGAAGGCAATGAATGGGGGTGGGGAGGGAGAGAATGGGCCAAATCCAGTCTGGCCACGCGCGTAATATGCTCAGTCGGTGGCAAGTGGCACACCTGGGGTAGGTGAGGGTTGATGATGAAGACTATGGAGTTACAAGTCTCTAGCAGATGGGAGACCTGGGTAAAAAGGTAAAGAGTGCTCATGGGGGATGGGGTCTTGGTGGAGACACATGGGTAGTGGTGCCTCCAAAGCTCAAGAGTGAGGCGAGTCCAGATGACCTCTCCTGGGGCCCAGCCAGGTGTCTACTGACTCTGGTATCCAAGCTGCATTCTTTTATTTTTTTTATTTATTTATTTATTTATGATAGTCACAGAGAGAGAGAGAGAGAGAGAGAGGCAGAGACACAGGCAGAGGGAGAAGCAGGCCCCATGCACCGGGAGCCCGACGTGGGATTCGATCCCGGGTCTCCAGGATCGCGCCCTGGGCCAAAGGCAGGCGCCAATCCGCTGCGCCACCCAGGGATCCCCAAGCTGCATTCTTAATGGACTGAAGGAACTGGGAGGCTCCCATGTGTGCTCTGGGGCCCAGTTTCTCCTTTGAAATGAGGAGAAATCCTTGCTGCCTTCTTGTTTCTTCACGTCCTGAGCAGGCTGAGTAAGATAGTATCAGAAAATGTTCGGCCTCTTGGGGTGAACACGGTTGGCTGTGACGGTCTTCATTTCCTGGTTCTCACTGTCACACAGAACCATGCCCGGGAGCTGGACCATCTCTGTCTGTGTTGGACGGGGCCTGTTCAAGCCAGAGGGCAAGTATAGATGTCGTCACTGTATCTGGGGAGGCACACGGGCAGGAGGTGGGGAGCTGGGAGTGTCAGCAAGGAGCCTACATCTTTCCTACGTGAACATGGACGTGCAAATGTGTGTGTGCACACACATGTGGGATCGGGGGCGCCCGCCAGATTCCCCCACTCCTAAACATGCTCTCTCTTCCTCCTCCTCCTGAGTGCTCTGATCTGGGATGTCACTTAACCCCTTGAGCAGACTCAAGGAGGAGGTCTCCCGTGCTCCTTAGTCCCCTCCTGCTGGGGCTCCCTCCTCCGTAGTTACATTAGGGAGTCAGTACTTCCCATTACAAAAGCACATCGGGCTTTCAAAAGGATTCACAACAGGATCCTTTTGCTCAACCATCCACACCTTGGTTGAGTGCCTCCCATACACCAGGT